ATCGCAGCGCTCCTCGGGAGGGCGTTTGATAGTCGAGGCGCCGCGTCAACATGGGGAGGCTATCGGCTGTAAGCTTGTCGCCTCCCTGGCGTGTCCGTTTGTCTCTGCTGCTGTGAATAGAATCTCTCTCTCACCGTCTTGTTGCTGTCGCCTCACCATCACCTTTGCCATGGCCTGCCACGCCTTGGCCGGGGTTGTGGCTACGTAATCAAGGTCGACCGTCGTTGTCAATCAACAACCCCTGTCTGTCAAGTTGGTGAGAATATCTCGGCAACGTCGTCAACTTGCACATCACACCTCATACACATCCGATCATATCAGCCTCACAGGATTGAAGAAAAAAAAGAGACGACAATTGTCAGGAGATGCACGGAGGGTGCATTCCGTTAGACTCTGCACCTCGTGTTTCTTTTTTTCACGAGGCCGCCAAGTTCTGGGATCGACTGTCGGTCAGCTCCTATTTGGCTTAACCACACGTTTTGAGGCTGATTCTAATCGACTTGTCGATACCGAATTGTCGTCACCAGAAGCAGCCTGGCCTGGCCTTGCTTGCATCTAATCAACTGGCTCCGCGAGGTATCCGCCCGTGCACCCATGAGTTTTCCGCCCATCCATGGTTGGATCGCATCGCTCCCGCAAAAGCCAGCCTGGTCTTTTTTCCCCATCAGACGTTTGGCGAACGATCCAGTCTTGGTGATATGAGCGACAGTGCATCATACAGTGCGCAGTGTTCTTTAGCGCGGTGGACCCTTACCTTTTCTCTACAAGGTCCTTGTCAGTAAGCAATGAATGCTATGGGTTATGAGGTCTTGATTAAAGCTCAGCATTCCATCAGATAGACTGTATTCTTATTTGAAACGGTTCTAGATCTGTTGTAAATTGAATACCCGGGACGAGCGAGTTCACGACACCATTTAGAATGTCTGACCGCATATCGGAAATATCTGCGAACGCGGTCAAGCCTCGCAGAAAGTACCTAACCACCACGTAGTAAGGTTCACTGTGCTTATAAGCTTAGCGGCAAAAGGGCTCCATGTGGGGGTGGAATCCGCCCATTGGAGCTTCCAGGTTTGGACGGGAGTGCTTGCGCAGCCCGCGCAGCCCTGGAGCTGTACCGTGCGTCGGCACTGTATTATCGATTCCAGTTGTTTCCCAGTGGAGCAAAGTCTTGTTGAGCGGGTGGGAAGCCCGCCTCAAGTACCTCTCCCCGCAGACTGCAGTGTGGCCAGTACCTGCATCCAGGGTACCTCCATCTGGCTGTAACCGGCCGCCCGTGCCCCTGGAATCCCTGAACATGGTGGGTGGCACCCCTGGATGACCTGCCCCTCCATCCATCCATCCTCTGCTCCATGGATGGAAGAATCGACACATGCCGCCATCTTGGCGGGCAGAAACTAAAGGGAATACCTATCTCACCGCCTTAATTTCTCCTGGGTTGCGGTTCCCCAATGGCTGCGTGGCTTCAGCCCCTCCACCGGCCTCTTGTCTCCCTCAGTCCAAGTTTGGCCCCCCTTTTTTCCCTTAGCTGCAACGTTGGGGATATCCAATCTTTTCTAGCCTCCCTTGCCGCTCTCGCAACAGACGCTGCCTCTGCTTCCTTTTAAACTCGTCCTCCCTCTCCCGTCTTCCTCCCAGCCTCACGTTCGCTTGACTCCCCAGTGTGTCGCTTCGTGGCCTTGTTTGCGACTGTCTATTATACAGCTTGTCGTCTGCGTCTTGCCTGTAATTCACGCCTCTACCGCCTTTAATCATCATGTCGGCTCTCACTCTCAATGGCTCTGCTGAGCCTGCCAACGATGCTCCAATCGTTGTCCGACGCATCTGCTGTGTTGGTGCTGGATATGTCGGTAAGTTTACATGGATTTTACTACCCCGCGGTGCTTCTGGGGGAGTAGCTGGTCTCGAGGTTGCTGGGGTCGCGAGCAGGCGGTCAATGTCATGATCGCGAGCTTCACCACAAGCGGGACAGCTCTCCAAAGCGCAATTCGACCAAAACACAGCTAACAAGACTCTCAGGTGGTCCCACCGCCGCTGTCGTCGCCTTCCAGAACCCCGACATCCAGGTCACCGTCGTTGACCGAGACACCACTCGCATTCGCCGCTGGAACTCCAAGCACCCTCCTATCTACGAGCCCGGTCTTCACGATATCGTCCGTATCGCCCGTGACGGTGGCCGTGCTACCTCCGTCGCCAGCGAGCCTGGCGCGGATGGCGAGACCGAGGTTCCTGAGCGCAAGCCCAACCTGTTCTTCTCCACCGACATTGCCAAGCACATCGGCGAGGCCGACATTGTCCTCGTCGCCGTCAACACCCCCACCAAGTACCGTGGTGTTGGTGCCGGCAGCGCTACTGACATGACTGCTTTCGAGGCCGTTACTGGTGTCGTTGCTCAGCACGCTCGTGAGGGTGCCATCATTGTCGAGAAGAGCACTGTTCCTTGCCGAACTGCCCAGCTCGTCGCTGACACTGTAAGTTGACAAGACTACCAGCCCAGCACGGCTGGGAAAGGAACAATGGAACAAATAGCTGACAAACATGATTCCAGCTCGCCATGCACCGACCTGGTGTCCACTTCGAGATTCTCTCCAACCCCGAGTTCTTGGCTGCCGGTACCGCCGTCAACGATCTTCTCTACCCTGACCGTATCCTGATCGGTTCTGCCCCTACCCCCTCCGGCAAGAAGGCCGCCGAGGCCCTTGTCAAGGTCTACAACGCCTGGATTCCCCGCGAGCGCATCCTGACCACCAATGTCTGGTCCTCCGAGCTTGCCAAGCTGGTTGCCAACTCTATGCTGGCTCAACGTATTTCCAGCATCAACTCCATCTCTGCCGTGTGCGAGCAGACTGGTGCTGATGTCGACGAGGTTGCCCGCGCCGTCGGTGTCGACCCCCGTATCGGTAACAAGTTCCTGATGGCCGGTATCGGTTTCGGTGGCAGCTGCTTCAAGAAGGATGTTCTCAACTTGGTCTACCTTGCTGAGACTATGGGTCTCCCCGAGGTCGCTGAGTACTGGCGCCAGGTCGTCAAGATGAACGAGTACGCTCGTGACCGCTTCAGCAACCGTGTCATCAAGTGCCTCAACAACACCCTTGTTGGCAAGAAGGTCACCATCCTTGGCTTTGCCTTCAAGAAGAACACCTCTGATACTCGTGAGGCCCCCGCCCTCGAGATGATCAAGACCCTGCTCGAGGAGCGACCCCGCGAGATCGCCGTCTTCGACCCCTGCTGCAACCCTCTGGTCATCAAGCAGGAGATCAAGGACCTTCTCGGCCCCCTGGCTGAGGGCCAGAACATCTCGGTCCACGGCAACGCCTACGACGCTTGCGATGCTTCCACTGCCATCATCATCGCCACCGAGTTCGACGAGTTCCGCAACCAGCCCCCTCCTCCTCCTGCCCCCGTGCCTACTCACCAGCCCAAGACCATCGGCCGCAAGCCCAACCCCAAGGCGGACCCCCGTCCCTTCGAGTCGGCTGCCCCCAGCGCCAACGACCTGCTCGCTCTTCACAAGTACCTTATCCACCTTCCTGAAGCCGAGTCGGCTGATCCCCTCGATCGCTTCAACGTCGAGCCCGGCTGCCAGGACGACTGCCCCGACTGCATCCAGGAGCGCGAGAGCAAGGAGACTGGCTTCGCCACTGGCATGGGAAGCAGCGAGGAGTACAAGCCCAAGGAGCGTGTCGACTGGGTCCGCATCTCTGAGAACATGGCAAAGCCCCGTTGGGTCTTTGATGGCCGTGGTGTCATCGACTCTCGCGAGATGGTGAAGCTGGGCGTCCGCGTTGAGTCTGTCGGTCGCCAGCACCGATTCTAAGCGTCACGCCTGGGGCCTGACGAGATAAGGGGTTTGCAACGGCCGACATTTTAGATTTCTTGTGTGTATGAATGCGTCGACTGTTGGCAAAGATTATACCGTTTTAATAGCATGAAATGACTGACATTTGGACGTGGGCTGACGAGACACGCCGAGGAAGAAGATACGTCAACTGGATGATGGAAAGGACACGGGGGTGCGATTTACATGCACAGGCGTGATTTGGAGAAGAGGTTTTACGGGCATAGAATTAGATTTGAAGTTGAGAATAAATAAAAATGCGAAATCACCCTGGTTTACCAAATGTTTTCCAAGTTGTCGCATTGGACCATTATGTCTGCCAGTGAAAGTGAGTATAGACATCTAGAGCTAACGCCCAGCTCTTGTTTCTCTTGCCTATTAAGAGCTCTTTACGCGACTAATTGATCGCCATAAGTCTCTCATTATATGTAGTTTCCTCTCTTACTTGTTTATCATCCTGTCCTGACTAAACTATTACTACCTTGTCAGTGCCCTGAGACGACGCTTCTCCCAACCCTGTTTCAGACGGCGGCGAGCTGTCTCACCTTTAACAGACTGTAACACATTGTTACCGAGGCACCACCAAAACGCTGGCCCCAGAAGCCTGTCACTCGCTAAAATGGTTCTAGATTTCGTCTGCTTTCGAGCTCGCGCGCATTAAGGGTAGCATCGAGCTCTGCCAGGCTCTGTGCGCAAGGAGGTCGCTGCAACTCCAACGGGGGCTATTGAGGTCATCGTCGCAGCTAATCCGGGAGACTCGGGGGGGATTAGCTGGGCGCGTTTCACCATGAGATGGATTCGTACTCACGTTGGGTGTCTTCTCCTCGATGTGTGTTCGTCGACGACGCTACCGTCGCGCAAAGCACCTTTGTCCTTCCTCTTTCTCTAGCCAACGGGTGTCGCTTCGCTTCACAAACTGGTTTTCCTGGTGATATCACAGTATCGCTAAGCGTTTCATTCATTAATCTTACTTGCGTTAACAGAGGGCGATTCTACTAGTTTCGTCCGTTGCATTGACGAACGAATCTGACAGCCAACCGGTCCCTTGGATCTGCACTGTCAACCTCGAGTCACATCGCGGGTTCCTGCAGACCATCGAGGTTGGGAAAGAAGGATACGCCGAGATATTATCCCTAAGCGAATCCAAAGCATCGACTCGTCGAAGATGAGGTTGTCGTGGGCTGGGCAGGCCGTCCTTTCTGGCCTGGTGGCCATTGTGACGGCCGACGTCTTGCCGCCCGACGACATACCTCTCATGTGCGTCACCATCTGCGGTCCAATCGTCGAGCTCACCTCGAAATGCGACGTTCACGGGCAGCGGCTCTTGAAGCGAACAACACCGTGGGTTCCAAAGCTGGCCGTGGAACCCCTGGAGGAGGAGGAGCCCGTACTGGTTGAGCCAAGGCAAGATGGCGAGGGGATTGAGAAGAGGAGTTTTTCCATCATCAGGGCTGCACCGACTTCGTTCCCCTTTGAGCTCACAGCAACGGCGCCTCTTGAAGAAGCCCAGCCAAGCACAAGCTCCATGTGGAGCGTCGAAACCGCAGCCGACCAAGTTGCGACACTATCGACCCGAACGTCGACCACAACCTCCTCGTCAAGATCTACTACAACAACCGTTTCTCTACCCACAAGATCAGTGCTCCACGAGACGGTTGCAACGACAAGTAGCGCTGGGTGGAGCGGCGGCGAGCAAACAGGGCAGCTGTACTCGCACAAGGACCCTGAGCAGGAATGCGTGTGTAACAATGAGAGCTTTGACGTGGCCAAGATTGCGGCGCTGTGCCATGACTGCATCGTCGTGGACGGGCACAAGCAAAATAGTGAGTTTTAACTTGAGTTGCTAATATGGTCAAAGGGCTAACATGAATTCTAGACATGGACATGATCATGAAGGCTTGCAACTTTACCGAGCTCTCTTACAGCATCAACAATGACAGCGCTGCGGATAACATCCGCGTTGAGGCAACGAGACCAACTGCTTTGGCCTCTACTGAAGCTCCCAGTACAAATACAGGAGTTGGGGTTGAGCCTGATACTAGACGTCAAGTCATGATTGTGGGTCTACTCTTGAGTTTGGCATTGGCGATTTGAGTTTTGTAAAAAAAGACGTGATTGAAAGACATCCACCTGTGGCACATAACTATTTTATATGTTGTATAGCGTTTTGCGCATTGATTTATACTTTCCCTTATCCGGTAGATATTTTCATTTTGGTAGTCAACTATCAGTCCTTATTTAGAACCTTTTCTTCTCAGAGCTGGGTTACTTAGAGAAGAGTACTGACTAAGATAAATTGAACATACTTTCTCACACATGCTTAAACTCCAACGTCAGAACGTGCAAGTGTAATTGATGAGAAACTCCAGTCTAGTTAAAAATAGATCGACTATACCAATCATAAAATACACGTGCTCTTGTCAATCCATAGAGGGGAGACAAAAAAGGGAGTACATGATTGGGGTTCAGGGTAGGTCATTTAGAGAACACCACCAGCCCTCAACCAAGGCGGCTTATTTTCCCTCTCCGGCACATACTCACGTTCAATAATACAGCCTAGCTTAACAGAATTCAATTTCTTTTCAATTCTAGAATGGCGGAGTTTGCGAGGCCAAGTGAAAGTCCGTCCGTCGAGGCTACCACCTCATACAGGGTCCGGCGGAGCTGCGCCTTTAAGTCCGAAAATCCAGGGGCGGACACCTTTTTCGCTCACTCTGGCTGACGCCAGCCATCAGCGCCAATGACAATGATTGGCGAATGCGATGGTGCTGACGGGGACGACGATGACGATCTAAGATTGTTGATAAAGGAATGGAATGATATATATACGCTGGAATAGGCCTCTTGAGAAAGGGAATTATCTCATCAATCACTCACTGTCAACAGTTTGCCTTCAATCGGCCTCCATCTAAATTTCCACATCACTTTACAAGCACTTACACCACCATGCATGTCATCCTTACCGGTGCGACTGGCCTTGTTGGCTCTGGCGTCCTTGATGCCATGTTGAAAACCAAGGACATCACCAAAATCTCCATCCTCAGCCGTCGTCCCGTACCCATGGCCACAGACTCCAAAGACCCACGCATCAATGTCATCATTCACAACGACTTTGCCACATACAAGCCTGAGGTCCTGCGCGAACTAGCTGGCGCCCGTGGTTGCGTCTGGGCGCTGGGCATCAGCCAGAACAAGGTCACCAAGGAAGACTACGTTCGCATCACCAAGGACTACGCGCTCGAGGCAGCAAAGGCCTTTTCCACGCTGGCAGACGAGGGGGAGGAACCCTTCCGGTTCGTGTACGTGTCTGGCGAGGGAGCAACACAGTCCCCAGGCAGATTCTCGCCCATTTTCGCACGGGTCAAGGGAGAGACAGAGACGGCGCTCGGGGAGATGTCAACCAAGATATCGACGCTACAGGCAGACTCTGTTCGACCAGCGTTTGTGGATGCGGCTGCGCATGAAGCCGTCCAAAAGTACATCCCCGACCCTGGCGCCATGCAGCGAAGCCTGGTCACCGTCCTTGGACCTCCCATAAGAGCTTTTTACAAGAGCGGCCACTCCCCCACGCCAATCCTCGGAGACTTTCTGACGAAAATGGCCATGGGCAAGGTTGACGGGCAAATCGAGGGTCCTGGAGCGTTCCGACTAGGGGGTTCCTGGATTGTGGAGAACGTCGGCTTCAGACGCGTGATGGGTCTGTGAACGAGCCCGCGGGATGAGGGGAATGAGGAGAATCGGTTGAGAAAAGGCCGTGTTCAGCGACTGGAACGAGAAATGGCCGATATATAATAAGGGTCCGGAAGGCTAAGGACCGTGTCGAGAAGGGCCGAGTTGGCGAGGTTGTGTCTCGGGCGTTTGTGGGTTATAGAGATAGGGCAGCGTGTAACAATAGTCCCTTTTAGAAGATCTAATATTAATAAATCTTTTAAAAAAGATATATGAGATCGTGATAGTAGTTGGAGCTCAAGAATGGCGTCGTGACGCGGTTCCTGCGAGAAAAGTGTTGTAAGTTGGTTGGTCCACAGTAGAGTAGCTTCAAGGAAGGGAAGATGTGATCTTCGGAAAGATCTTCAGGGTCTACGGATACGAGCGCGAGACTCGGAATCTGCCCTAGGACTTTAAACACGGCACAGGTGTTTGAAACCCACACAATCAACCTCGTGTGACCGGGGACCCTGAAGGCAGAATTCCATGGGAGAGTGATCGGCGCCTTTGAAGGGTCCCGAGGACCCTTGAAGTGAAGTATGTGACTTTTGAAACAAAAAAATTATTGCCATGAGAAGGAGAATTGAGAGTTGAACATGCTGTAGAAGTGTAGTTGGAGGTTGATGTGATGGATATATGTTTGGGGTTTACTGCTTGATTGGCATGGCAGGATCACGTGGGGTCATCAAGTTCGCCAAGAGTTTTGCTCCTCCCACTGTTCTCTCCAATCCACCAACACCAAACATCCATACCTTGACTCCGTCTTTGGTTAATAATTAATTTCGTCATATGATTGCCATGTATCTCCTCGCCTCTGATTGGCCACTTACGGATCTGCCAAGGGCGGTGGCACGTTGAGCATCTCCTGAAACTACCCCTCGACTGAACGATCCATTGCCATTTCCGAAACATGAACTCGGGGATTTTGAAGCTTGTCTTTAGAAAGGTTTGTGTCAGTATGAAGCCGCAGAATTGCCCGGCAGCATTCCGAAGAAGTCTCCATGGGCAAGTGCCTATGGTAGAGCTCGTATTGGTGTCGACAGGACGAAGGGCCACACTCAGATGGTACTTTGAGGCAATAGCAACAGCAATCGATCCCATGTCTCTCCTCGATATCTCAACATGCTGGAATTTGTTGCGGGACACGGGATGATCAGATAGGTCTAGACCATGGAAAGGAGGGAAGTCAAGGTGAGCAGTGAGCTTCGTGCTGATCGAGGAGGGCTTGGCTTCTATAAGACCAGCTTCTGACCACGTCGACACAACCTCAGCCATTCAACTAACCATTTACCTCAGCCACAGGAACTCTTTTCTTCCTTCCTTCCTTACCTCCCTTTGCGGAAGCTTTCGGCAGATTCACTCTTTCTCTGCTGACACCTTGCCTGCAACCATGGCTAGGCACAGCTCTCCTAAGGGGCTTCCTTGGGCTAAGCTGATCGCCTTACACTCCTTTCTGGTGGCACAAGCCCTTGCTGATTATGCCACTGTTGAAGTGGCAGTTACGAGATATCATGATCTTGGAGACTGTGTTGCCAAGTGTAACACTGAGTTTCCTCAACCCACGGCTCATGCCAATGCCGGAAACGACTCCCATAGCGGCTCTGGCCAGCAGCAATACCACAATGTCCATGGGGATTACAAGTACCCAGAGTCCAATGGAAAACAAGGAAACCACAGAGGCCAGGGCCATGGCGACGAAATCGAAGAACACGAGTTTAGTGGTGGCAATGGAAACTATCAAGGCCACCGCCAACAGAAGACCCAGGGCACACACGGCAGCCCAGGTCAATACATTCAGGAAGGCAACAACGGCATCAGTGTCACGGCTATTCACGGCCACAACTACGTGATCCTTGACGTGCCCACTTGCAACGAGGTTGGAGCCACCTCGACCAAGCATCCCGCTTGCAACTCTTGTTACGGAACTGTCTTCCGCTACCAACCCACCAATGTCCCTTATGCCACAGTCACAAAGACCGAGGGAACAGGCCATCACGCAACCGTCTCGATCCAACATCCCAAGCCTGATTGCCACAAATGTGAGGGCACTGTCTATATCTGCGAGCCTACGGCGGTCCCCAACGAACAGACTATCACGGTTTCTCTTGATGGAGCTAGACCCAACGACCCTTGCATAACCCTTCCTCCATCTGTACCAGGCGAACATTGTACGATTCTTGTTGGTCCATCTGATCAACTCGATGGACATGACACGATTACTCTCCCCGGAAGCGGACCGGACAGCCCAACTCGAACCATCGTTCCTACAGGCGCTGACGGACGGCCGCTTCCTGGCTCTTCACCTATTGTCATTGTTGGAGGGGCTCCTGGTGACCTAGCCGGCTCAGGTAGTTCTGATGGGTCTCAGACTACTGTGTATCTAGACGGAGCAAAGCCAGGAGACCCTACGATAACCCTCCCCCCTTCCATGCCTGGCGGGCCTGAGACGGTTCTCGTTGGCCTTGCCGGTTTCCTTGATAACCTCCAAACGATCACCGAACCTGGCGCCGGACCTCATGCTCCCACTCGCACCATCCTCCCTACCGGAGGTGATGGGAAGCCGATCCCCGGCGCTTCGCCTGTTGTTGTTATTGGAGGGGATACCACCACCTCAGATGCTTCTGGCGAATCTACCCAGCCTCCAACTACCATCTTCCTTGATGGAGCAAAGCCGGGAGATCCTAGCGTGACTCTTCCGCCCTCCACCCCAGGCGGACCTTCGACAGTTCTGGTTGGACCAGCTAGCATTATTGACGGTCTCAACTCTGCCAGCAACTCCGATCCTTCGGGTACTTCGGGCGGACCTCCTGCCGTCACCATTTCTCTTGACGGAGCCAAACCTGGCGACCCCAGCATCACTCTTCCACCTTCGATTCCAGGACAACCATCCACGGTCATCGTTGGCCAAACTGTCCAAGTCGAGGGTTTCGGGAGGATCGAAAACTTTGATCCTACATCCTCTTTGCCTCCTGTCACTGTTACCCTGCGTGGAGCCAAGCCAGGCGATCCTAGCACAACCCTTCCACCCTCTGTTCCAGGAGAGCCATCTACAGTTTTCGTTGGGCCATCTGACCAGATTGATGGCATCGCAAACGTCAATAACGTGGATGCCACGCCTACGGTGTCGACCGTCACTGTTACTCTGAGCGGAGCTAAGCCGGGCGACCCTAGCATTACTCTTCCTCCTTCTAGGGCTGGTGACCCTACCACGGTTGTCGTTGGTCCAACTGACGACGTACTTGTTGGGGTTGATGCAATCAGCAACTCAGAAGCAGGAGGAGAGACTGACAGCCCATCTAACACTGCTGAAGAGCTAATCAACGTCTCTCCATTCGCTGCAGCTGAGAGCAGTTCTGGCGGCAATGGTATGCCTACAGTTACTGTCT